AAACATTAGTCAGTCTTTTCATTGCAGTTGAGAAAAAATTGGTTCTGGCAAATATTTGTTGAATGAATAAGTTCTTTCACAGAAGGCTTATAATAGAGCTTTGCAAACCCAATGGAGCCAGTTATGAAAGTCAGATGTCTCCAGCATATAACTTTGTTGCAATTCCTGTCATTCTGATTTTTTTTGGTCACCATTCTATAAAAGCAAAATTCTTCAAAATGATTGACTCTGTTGAGCACTCAGATGTGGCGAGCTTACACAGAATTTGTGTATTTTTAAGTATAAATACTTTGAATATAAAATATTTAATTTCATATTCCATTGGTGTATTAGTAGTATATCTATTTCATTATAATACATTTAAATTTATTTCTTTTGTTTAATTACATATATTTAAATCTGAGATTTCGTGCCAAGTGTCTGGGCACTGTGACATTTGAAGTCTTAAGTAGTAAAAGAAAATTTCTTTAATATTAGAACCAACCAATCAGAACTCTAATGTTAGAAAACCCTAGCCAGTACCATAAAGTGTTCAGCTTGATTATGATGCCTATAAAAATATACCAAGCCCAGCAGACCTTGCAAAAATGAGTTACCATCTAATAAAAGGTTGACAAAGGCTTAGGTAAACCGTGTTCTGTTTCTCTCTCCATTATGCACTGTTTCTCCAAGTATGGTTAGTGAATCACATCACTATATGTTCAGCACTTGTGGTGTTCGAGTAAAATGCTAACTGACCTCCCGTTCCCAAGTGTGAGGCCCAGGAGGGAGTTTCTAAGAAATCAGTGAAAGACTTCCCTACTGTGACACATGTAACACAAATGGGAAATTTAAAATATGTCTCCCTTTTGTCCTTTTGTTCTAAGATGACTCAGCCTGTACATAGACAATCAGAGGTCTTGAAAATTGTTGGGCATGGTGGTTCATGTCATCTCACCATGCAGGAAGATCTGGGCTACACAGTGAGACCTTATCTTAAAAAAATGAAAACTTGACCCATTGCAACAATGAGATGTACAAGTCGTTATGTCGAAAACGAACTTTAGAACTTTGGTGAGGGGGTGGGAGGGGGCCCGCAGGGAGGATTGGGTGGGGGGGTGGGGGAAGGATGGGAAAGGATGGGAAGGGGAAACAAAGGAGGAGGCTACAATACTTGATAAGAAATGTACTCATTATCTTGCCCATGTAATTGTAACCCCTCTGTACAGTATTTTCACAATAAAAAAAATGTAAATCAAAAAAAAAAAGAAAACTTGAGAGTCTCTAAGCCAGAGTCAGGGGTGGCATTCAATTAAATCCCATCCATATTCATAAAACTTGTTTGAAAGCGCTGAACTTGGGGCCGTGTGTGGGTGTAGTAGCATATACTTGTAATCCCAGTTACTTCGGAGGTGGAGATGGAAGGATGACGGTGTGAAGCTGGTTTTGCCAGCTTTTTAGCAAGACCTTGTCACAGAAACAAGCCAGACCTTGTAGTACATTCCTGTGGTCCCAGATACTCTCTGAAAGTAAAGGTAGGTGAATTGTTGGAAACTAACCCAGGGCAAAAGCACAAGACCCTATCTGGGGAAAAAAGTAAAAAACAACCAACCAAAAAAACAACCTTTCATCTAAGGGACTAGGTCAGAAAATGGCCTGAGTAGTAGCTTGAGGCCCTAAGTTCAATCCACAGTTAATCACAAATAATAAAATAAAAGCATTCCTTAAGAACTCTGTTGGAAGCTGGGAGCCAAGGCTTACACCTGTAATCCTAGGTACTCAGGAGGCTAAGATCTGAGGATCACAGTTCAAAGCCAGCCCAGGCAGGAAAGTCCATGAGACTCTTACTTCCAATAAACCACCAGAAAACAAGAAGTGGTGCTGTGGCTCAAGTGGTAGAGCACTCATCTTGAGCTGAGGAGCTGAGACACAGTGCCCAGGCCTAGAGTTCAAGCCCCACGACTGACCAAAAATAACTGTCTTGGATAACATTAACTTATTAATAGGAGATAGTAAATGAAAGAGAAAATGCTTAGAAATAGGAAAGTTCTAACTAAAAAGTCTCAAACCACCCAGAAAGCTACCCTTTCAAAAAAGTGTTTATGATACAATGTGATTTGTCTTTTCAAAGATGCTTTTTGTTTCACACATAATGTTTTCACAGTTTCCTGTGGTTTTAAATTATTAAACCATTACCAGAATTGTGAAAATAACTGATCTGAATTCTTACCCCATTTTTGAGAAACAAAGCATATGAAATTTAAGTGAATCATTGTCATAGATTTTAGCACTCGTATCAGTCTGGCCAAATAGAGTACTCTCTTTGAAGCTCATATATTAGAAACCAAGAGTGCTTAGAATTTAATTTTCCCCCCAGTTGTGATTCTAACCCTTTAACAAGTATGAGTTCATAGCTGCATTGACTTTTATATTTACCATTGGTCACTGCCATCTCTGACCATCTTGGACAAAACCAAGGAAAATAGTTATAATTCTCCTGAAGTACAGTCACACCACTTTTGGATTAGAATGCTGAAATAGAACAGCAGAGGTTGGGCAGTGGAAAGCATGGGAAGTTTCACTGTGAATGAAGTATAGGGCTGTAATGTATGTTAAAAGCCCAGTCTACATTAGCAGTGAGATACAGATTAGTCCAGAAACAGTCATCCTCAATTTAGAAAGTTTCATATCATGACCATATCTAACTGTATCATAATCGTACCACATTCTATGGTTATGATAAGTAAGGAATAAGGACTTAAGTATTCCTTGTTGACATTTTAATCTCACTAGTATTTCAAATGTTAAAATTAAAACCTGGAACTGGGAAATTCACCTTCACCCATAGCTGAACACCTGATGAAACTAAAATAGGGTAAAAGTTACAGATGAGGGCCCTGCTTCATTCTTCCCCTTCCACTACCAAGATACATTCCTTGTCAGAAAGATGAGGTACAAGAAGAGGGAAGAACTAAGTTGGAGATCACTGGAGAAATGATTGACTGGATCCTTTGAATAAAAGAGAAGTTTGTGTACTGTCATTGACCTCTCCCAAAATGTAGCCTTTTAAAGTGTTATGCTCTGTTGTGTTGTTTTGAAACAGGGTCTTGCCAGCTCAGGTATGCTTTGAACTCTTCATTTTCCTGCCTCAGTCTCCCAACTGCTGGGATTATAGTAGAATATCACTATTTTTATCAAAGATAGCTTTTTTAAAAGCTTACATGTATGTTGAGTGCTAATAACTCCTATATTGCACAAATAACTCTGTTCTTCTGGTTTTGATTACTACTCTGATTACAGCAATTTGTCTTTTGAACCTCAAGTTCTTTAATATTTCAACGCCATTCGGGTGCCTGTGGCTCACACCTGTAATCCTAGCTATTCAGTAGGCTGGGATCTGAGGATCACAGTTCAAAGTCAGCCCAGGCAGGAAAGCCGGTGAGACTCTTTATCTCCCGTAAACCAATAGAAAATCAGAAGTGGTGCTGTGGCTCAAACAGTAGAGCGCTCGCCTTGAGCTGAAGAGCTGAGGGACAGTGCCCAGGCCCAGAGTTCAAGCCCCACAACCAACAACCAAAAAAAAAAACAAAAAACTTTCAACCCCATATTAAGGATGGGTTGACATACTTCTTTGCTGCACAGCTGTCTTTGAGTCTAAATAAACAACACACAAGGACAAAAGTATGGTTAAGTTTTGTCTTCGACATGATAGATTCTGAATGTTGCCACTTACAGTAACAGTCCTTGATAGCATTTCTGCTGTAAGACCATGATTTAACTTTTTAAAAGCACATTTAGGAAAGTAACATACAAATTACATTAGAATGAATTAGAAAAGAGTTGCAGTTTAGTTTCCTCCCAAGTGGAGAGATTTATGAAAGCGCCGCACCCCAAGAGAAAGGACTTCTTTCCCTTCCTGCTTCAGCTTCATGGCCACTCTCACCACTGCACTTCCACAGGACTTCTTACTTTAGTTATCACCAAGTTCCATAATTAACATATGGTTCATGTTATTGATTTCTCAGGTTTCAAAGTAAAATAAATCGAGCTTTCTTCCACATTTAGAATATACAGTTTTTCTAAGGCACTTTAAACAAAGACGCACATTATTTCTAAGTTGGAGAGCAGCTGCCAGAAAACAGAAAATTAGGGATGTAGTCATGGGTGAAATAATGGTGATACTGTTCAAAGGTAACCCTTTGTACAGCAGGAAATTTTCCTTAGAAAAGAGACAGCTGAGTTTGCTTGTAAATTTTGCTAGAAACAGGCCTGATTTAGCAACATTTAGCTGGTTAGGAGGCTGAAGACGCACTTTCAACTTTGGATATCAAGCAAGTACCCTCATATATGATGATTTGTAAAAAGTCCAAATACTTGATAGTTTGAAAAGATGAGTATGTATGCGGTTGCTATTAGTTTGTTTTAATGTATAGAATAACAAGCAAATATATATCAGATATGGGAGTAGAGTTTGCTACACATAAAAAGGAGACATCCTAAGAAATGATTTGTAGATTAGTTAGAAAAATTTTAATTTATAGTATTATGACCAGAGCTAATAGGCAAATGCTAGTTACAAAAAGGAGAACTAAACCTTAACATTCTTATATGTAAAAAGCTCTTACAAACCAATAAAAAAATCACTTATTTTAGATATGGATGAGGAACATTAAGAGACAAATACACAAAAGAGCTGGAAGATATGGAAAGGGGGGAATTCAACCCCACAGATAATTAGAAGTGCATGCTGAAAAACAGAATATACCAAGAGATAACTAAATAACTAACAGAATGCTTACATATCCACAGAATGATTTTTCCAAAAAAAAAAAAAACAACATTCTAAAACAGTAGTTGCCTAAAGAGACACAAGATCTAAATTCAACCATTGTAGTATGTTATCAGTATGTACGTTTTTTTCTACTACCTGTTTGTAAAAGCTAGTATGAGGCTGGGCATCAATGACTCATGCCATTGTCTGCTACTCAGAAATCTGAGATCTGAATGGAAAAACTTGGAAAAAATTATATTAAGTGAAGTAAGCCAGGCCCAAAGAAACATAGGCTCCATGGTTTCCCTTATTTGCAATATCTAGTATATGTATAAGTCAAGCGGAAAAGGTCAGATAATGTGATGTTAGGAAAATGAACCCTTAGATATGTATTTTAATGTTTTTTTCTTTCATGCATGTGTTTCTAACGCATTTATAAGATTATTTCTTTGTTGCTTTGTATGTCCCTCCCCCACAGTATAACCCCTGCTTTCACTATATTTGATGTCAGTATAACTTGTGGAGGAGATGGGGAAAAACAAGTCGTTTAAGGATACAGGTGGACCTGTTGCAACAATGAGAAGTACAAGTTGTCATGTCCAAAATGAGCTTTACAACGTTGGTGCGGGCGGGGGGGGGGGGGGGGGGGGCGGGGGGAAGGATTGGGATGGGGGGAAGGGAGGGGCTGGGAAGGGATGTGAAGGGTAAACAAAGGAGGAGGCTGCAATGCTTGGTAAGAAATGTATGCATTATCCTGCCCATGTAATTATAACCCCTCTGTACAGTATGTTCACAAATAAAATAAAATTAAAAAAAAAAAAAGAAGTCTGAGATCTGAGGATTGCAGTTCCAAGCCAGCCGAGGCTACTCATCCTAGCTACTCAGAAGGCTGAGATCTGAGGATTGTGGTTCAAAGCCAAGCAGGCAGGAAAATCCATAAGACTTATCACCAGTTAACTACCAAAAAACCTGAAAGTAGAACTGTGGCCCAAGAGGGAGTGTACTAACCGTAAGTAAAAAAGTTCAGCCACAATGCCCAGGCCCTGAGTTCAAGCCCCAAGACCAGCCAAAACAAAAAACAAAAAAAGCTGGTAAAAATGCACTAACATACTAATAATGCATCTTAAAGCATGCTGGGTTGTTTACGGCCCCAAATAAATGTCTATTACTATTATATTACACTGTATGAAATTCCTAGTGGTGGTTGTCTTTGCCTACAAAAGTGGCTATTTCAATGATTCAGCCTAATACATTTTCAATCCAACAAGATATTTTTGTGTACATATTAATGGAAGATGCAATCTCTTACCTCAGAGTTCACATCTCTACATCTGAATCATCTTCATAGTCCAATATACAAATTAACAATACGGTTTACTTCCTGTGTTGTCAGAACAGTGGTAGAGCTTGCAAAATATCCATTGTATATAATATGGAAGTTGATGATGATAATATTGACATTATACAGCAAGGACTAGAAAAAATTGATGTGACAAGCTTTCTAGTAAGACATACTGACACCATTGTTACTTTTTTTTTTTTTTTTTTTTTTTTACTGTTAATCTTACTGCCATTTTACCATAAAACTACTAGAATTGTCTGTAGAGGCATTTCATTTGGTTGCAATTAGAAGGAATTGCTGCTGAGAACTAAACTTTAAAATTAATGTCTGCATATAGAATAAAGTTAAAAGCCTATTTTTACTATTACGACAAGCATAGATACCAGCTTCTCCAATGGTCTCTGGGTTTTCAGTATTTTTCACATGAAATCAATTTTCCATGTCCATGTTAATGTGAACTCATAACTATTTACATTATACTTTTGAGCAGATGCTTTTTGGGAGGTCACTGCTTTAAAAAAAAATAATAGCATTGCTTTTTAAACCCTGGGTTGGTTGGTACAGAGAGATTGTAAAGGGATAATTAAGGTGTTCTGCATGTAGAATTGATTTAATGAAAAAGTATGAGATGCCTTTTTAATTCTGTGAAGCGAAATACTTGAGCTTCAATGGTAATGTGGATGCCGTAGGTACTCAAAGACATCTGACATGTCTTCAAAATTCAAAGGGGGAAAATGCCAAAGGGAAATTGAATTATGTGTGTTTTTTATGATTCTTTTTTAATTTTTTTTATTGTTATTGTAGAGATGATATACAGAGGGTTACAGTTACATCAGTCAGGTAATGACTACAATTTTTTTTGAACCATGTCTCCCCTCGCATACCATGTGAGCTTTGACACTTTCCCTGTTGCATTTTTTAAAATGGCACTACAAAAACATGTTTTTTAAAAAAATAGTGTTTATCTCACTGAATCATGTCCATGATTCTGAAATTTCTGTGCTTCAGGCTAGGCCTGTGAACTCATCATAGCAGCTTAGCCACTCTATGTGATGGACACAGCATGTCTGAAAATAACCCAAATCATGGGTGAAGGGACACCAGGACAGAAACCCCTGAGCTTTCTTTCCTCTAGTCAAAATAACAAAGTCCTGGACTCCAATGATTGATGAGCAACTTGCCAGGGGAAATGAACTGGAAAATCATCGCCTTGTATTTTACTTGCCACAGGAAGATTTTGACAGAGATCTCAATTCTTCTCAAGTCTGATCAGAGGCCTGACACAGCATCAAGAAAGACTGTAAATACAATCCATGGTTTCCTATCTCACAATATAGCATGTGGGTGTTTGATAGGCTTTGACAGGCCTAGCAACTCTTTGACCATTACAATATGACATTTGAACTGAGAGAAAAGGCTATTTTAAGCAAGTGTAGGTATCCCATGTTTAGCATAGAACATGTATTCCTAAAAAGTATTCAGATGATGACATTCCATTTACCAAGGTCTGGCCTTCTAGCTCTTAAATTGCATATTTGTAGCCTAGAAAAACTTAAGGGCTTATAAATGGAAACACGGAAAAATATTTTAAATGCAAATAATATATTTTCCATAAACATTTTTCCTTATCTGTAAGTAGTTAGTAGTTTCAATTCAGCAAATCAGTCTCTAAGTATAGTGCATCTTGAGCCTTGTCACCCCTTCCATCATTCTCCCTTATCTTGCCCAACTCCACCCATTCCCTTGTTACAAATAATAACCGATGAGAAACTGTGTTAGAATTGTCCATGTTGGTCAGGTAGCTGGAACAGCTCTTTCAAACAGCGATCCGACTTGCCTGGAGACAGTGGCACAATCCTCACCAGCACCCCATAGCCATTCTCTCACGGGAGCCACTGCAGTAGTTAAAGCGAGGTGGTAGAGCCACTACAAAAGCTGCAGGCATCACATGTTGAGCCAGGAGAGATTCCAGACAAATGTCTTCATTGACATTTGCAGAGTGGGTCTGAGATTCATGTTCATGTCATCATCAAGTGTTCACAGAAGGAATGTCTTAAATGGAACACATTTTCTGTTAAATTTTCCACATTAGTCTTGAGCAAAAAGACTCCATATTTAGACAGTAACGTACTACACACTCTTGGGATTGGAGTGTTCAGATTTTCATTAAAATGTTACTTGTTATCAGAAAGCAGGGACCCTTAAAGATTGTATTGACAGTGAACATTCAGCAGGGCTCAGGTTGCATTATTTTACTATATTTTAGAAATGTGTTTGTTTAGGAGCTTAGTGTTTCCGTATCCATGACTTCTCCTTTCATGTGTTTTCTGGGCCTGTGTTGTAGTTGGTTTAGAACTATTTTACACCTTGCCTAAAATGTAGTAGATCTCACAGCTTGTATCTAGAAATAAAGCCCCTTCTGTGAAGTTACTCCCAGAGCCTTTATCCAAAGGCAGTGGCTTGCACCGTCTATTGGATTACCTCTCTGATCGTGTGCTTCTTGCCCAACTGAGCCTGGAGATTTTTGTTAATTCCGTTTGCTGGTGGATAGACTACCTGTCCCTGTGGCTAACTCTTTACAGCCAAAGAACAACTATACAAGGGAACCAACTTAGATGTTGGCTGGGAAATGGCCTCTTAGAATGGGAAACACATGTCTCCTTTCTCCCAGGTGCCCACCAGGCAGCTCTGCAAAATGTGCACATTATTCTATCATTGAATTCCAGACCTGGAATTCAAAAACTATGTGTTACTCTTATCAATTTTGGTATGCCTTAAAGCTTTGGGAGAAAAGGTGAATTAAACAGTGCTTTTCCAAAAGCACTCATTACTTTAGAATTCCAAAATTTCACCATATGCCATGCTCAGCCGTGAATTTGAGGAGTTTCTTGATCATGTCATTTTAAAATAAGTTTCCTATATTTGTTATAAAATTCTCACCAGTAGAGTTTTCCTGTTAATACTCTCCATCTTTTCTCCTTAAGCCTGACTTTTAAGTTGTATACAAGATCATAGGTGACTCTTCTACTGTGCCTTTAAAAAATGTACATCTATGTCTTCCTCTGTGCTAAAATTATAGGACCTTATCCATAACAGAGCCACCATTTTAACCCAGGTTTTCCTGATTATATTAAGAAGAGAAAGTAGATCTTGCCAAGGTTGGGCATATTCCCCAATTCTGTAAAACATTGCAGGCGATTAATGGGCTTGAACTGAGAGTTCTTTTGTGTGTGTACTTGTATGTGCACTTGTACGTGTGAGGAGGAGTGAAAGGGACATCCATGCATAGAATTTCTAAACTGGGCAACAGTGTAGTTAGCTAGCGGCAAGAGATACCCTGTTGGCTCCCAGACCTTTCTGGAGGCAGCCTGTTGGATAGGCCTCCCTGGAGATGAATCCTGCATGGATGGCTTCCTTTTGCCTGAATGCTGGTCCTGTCCTTATTAACACCTTAGGAGGCCTTGGGAGAGATATACTTGTATCCAAAGTACTTTGCAGATTACAGTCCTACCATTTGCCACTCAGGAAGATAAACAGGCATATTAACTCGTAGCAAATGCCACCTCCTTGGTCCGAATGAGTTTGTAAAGCATTTTCTTCCTGGTTTGTGCGCACCACATTGTTTTAGCTCTTCTCATCACTGACCAGCTGGCTTGTTGGTGAATAGAGCTGTGGGCCCCTAGCCATGTTTCATGTGAGGTCTTGGCTGGGTGGCAAACAGGCAGCCTGTAGCCAGTGTCAGCAATTCAGGAGGAATTGGCACAGCAGTGTCCCCATTAATTTCTGCTTGTCACATACTGTCATGCAAGTTACACCAGAGAGGAAATGACCGTTAAAAAAAAAAAAAGGTACCCTTGTGGCACTGGGTCCCCTCCAGACGTTCCCCGAGGTTAAACAAGTGGATACAATTAGCTCTACACAGACAGCTGCGGGGAAGGGAGAGCCTAGATGCAATGGGTCTTTCCTGTCAGCCAGGAGTGTCAGCTATCAACATCTGCCATATTTTAACCCTTCAAAGGGACCGGTAAATTAAGGGGAGCTATTATCCCACGCTCTGCTGATCATTATCAATCATAATGCCCTGGGAAATTACCAGAGTGCTGCTGCCTTGGTGGCAGATTTTGTCCTTTGGGGATCTTTTTTTTTTTCTTTTTTAATGATTTTGCTGGGAGCAGAGAAAAGTGGTAGAGCAGAGGGCAAGGGGAAACTGGCTCTTTAATCATGCGTAATTTACTGCCACAGGGAAGGGGAGTAGAACGGTCATAAACTCCTCTTTGGTTCAGACTGAACCAGGCAGCTTCTATCTCCACAATGGTTCTTCCTGATGACCTGGTCACTACCTTCACCAAGAGCTGTGATGACTTTCAACAAATTCAAACAAGATCTTTGGGAAATGAGAACCAGTTTCAGAGGAGGAAGACTGGCCAAGATGAGAAAAGAAAGAAACTCTTAGGATAAATAAGACCTTCGAAAAGAAAATTCCTGTATTTTCTTTCTTTGTGCCAGTACTAGGACTTGAAAATCAGTCTAAAGCTCCCACCTGACTTTTTCCACTCATTGCTAGCACCCTACCAATTGAGCCCACACCCCCCACTTCCAGCTCTTTGCTGGTTAATTGGAGATAGGAGTCTTGGGTTTGTCTTCCCCTGGTTGGTTTAGAACCTCAGTCCTCAGATCTTCACCTTCTGAGCAGCTAGGATTATAGGTGTGAGCCACCAGCATGGAGACAATTCCTATATTTTTCAAAGATTGAAATGATTAAGCTATTGTTGTTCAAATATAGTCTTGACCAAACTCTTTGTAAGCACATGCTATGTATTGGAATGGGCTTGTCTCATGACAATCTGATGGCCAACACAGAAGGACCTGTGAAGGAAATTTGTCCATGTGAATTGTTTACTGAACTCTGTTTATTTCACTTCATCATTTAAACTGTTGAGGAGACAGGGGACTTCATAATTTTGTGAAAAAGATACCGTCAGGACTACAACTGAAATGACAGGATTTCTATCAATGGACAGTAATAGTGAGTGTAGGATGCTCATTTTGAATGATTGCCAAATGAACGGAAGGAATGATCATGCTCATATTTTATTTCATTCTTATGTCATCGAGGAAGATTCTGCAACCATTTAAAGTGAGAGATGGAAATCACCTCAGAACCATTGAATAGGAGTAACTTTGCATCATATTATCCAGATTTCATTCTTCCCTATGTGAAAGAATTGATAATATGCTCACCAAGGAGAGCTTGGATATGGTTAGTGATGAATGTTAGTTATGTACCAATCCAGTGACATCATCTTTCCTGAGACCCTCATCTTATAAATTAGAAAACAAAGCCTAGATGGCTAGGGGCTTTTCTAAGATTTTATACAAACCAGAGACATTTACATCATACCATGAGCAGAGGAGCAGTACAGGAATTATGGTCAACCCAAGCAACAACATGACAGCATGAAGGAAGAAGAAACTTCAAATGTAGACTCAAAGGCAGCTTTCTTCAGTGAGGGCCCAATCATCTGCTTTGAAATTAGACTAAGCTTGAGGCACCAGGTTTACTTAGCCCCATGAGAATGAGATGTGCCAACTTCACAAGATAACATGCCTGTCTAATTTTAAGTACATCTAGAAGCACATACAAGTATTTCTTAATCTTGATGTCAAAATAAGATATGAATTTAGAGAAAATTGCTTCATTAGTTTTTTTTTAACCTTTGAAAAAGATGTGAAGTGTGCTTTAGTGTGACCCAAACCAATATGAGAATAATCCTAATTGTGGCATCCTGTCTTGTGGATGGGTGTGCTATACATAACTTTTCTGTGGTTCATGTCATTAATCTGGTTTTAGGAGGACAATCAGTAATTGACCTCAAACTGTTTGAGCTTACATGACTAATGAAGCATATTATTGGATACATTAATGTCATAATTTAGTGTTTAGAAGGAGATTTATCCACTGGAAAACAGGTTCTTATTTCAGTGAAACATGGAAAATAAATTATACTCTCTGTTTAAATAACATTGTTTTCTCAGCCTTGTTTCTGAAGCCTGAGTTTAGGATGTGTTATCCAATGTCAGGCTGAGGTTGAAGCACTACTTGAAGATAGTGTATACTTCAGAGGAATACCAGGGGATTACAACTAGGATAACAGAGAAAATGCCAATTTACTGAATAACGATGAGCCAATTAGACAAAAAAAAAACATTGGCTTGAACTTCATGGGAAGGCACCGAATCGTTACTAACTGCTGTGGCATTCAGAATAAATAACATCAATCATGGTGAACTATTTGGGGAGTCATGTGTCCATATGTAATTCCATAAAAAAAAACTCTTCATTTTGGCATTATTAATAACGACTACAATTTATAAAATGGCAGTGCTTCATCGAAAACCCTTGCATCATTTAAACTTGTCAGCTAAGAACTTGAAACTTTCCTAGCATTCATTAAAATGATAATTGCTGAGTTCTCATGGGAAAAAATAGTTTCTCATTTTAAGTCCTGAAGTTTCAACAGGATTTGGTGTAGCATTTCATTTCACTTCAAATCCTAATGACTCACTACATTCTTTTCCCCAGGACTTATCCCCTGTTTACCCTCAGAGTTCTCTCTCATGTAGACACAAGTCTACTGAATCAATGGGCATGACTATTTTCTTGAACAGTGAAACAGTTCGAGTTCTGTATTGCTATTGGAAGATACAGTTTAGCCTGCAAGTTTAAAGAAGATTAGCATTTCCTATGTTTATATCTATTGAATTTGGCTTCTTAAAAATGCTTGCTCCTAAGAGAATCTTCTCTGAGCTGAGTTGAGCCATTCTTATATGGTCAGGAAGTAACAGTGTCCTCATTTTTACAGATGGAAGTAGCTGCCATAAATAGCTAATTAATGACTTGTCCAAGTTCACACAGGTAAAAAGCCAGAAGGTAAATTTGTGACTCTTGCACAATCCATTAGAATGTTTTCATGTCAGCCACTGTAGTAGAATTAAATATAATTTATATATCTTTCTCAGTATTCTTTAATGAGTAATTCCCATTTGCATAAATGTTTTAGCATTTCCATGCCCTCTGGGTCATTAAAGTAATTTATTTTTATAATTTTAATTATTATAAGACTCAATGTATAAAATATATTCAGAAATGAAATGAAGACAGATACATTAAATTGTATTGTTATTAAAACGCATAGTGTCCATGCTAGGATTAGATGAGAGCTGTGCATTAGATACAGGCTATTACATTTGTTGTTTATTGCTTAGCAATGTGAAATTATATTTAGCTGGGAAAAATATTTTCTTCTTTGTGAGGAAGGGCAGCCCTAGAGTTTGAACTCGGGGCCTTTCACTTGCTAGATAGATACTCTACCATTTGAACCATTTCTCTAGTCCTTTTTTTACTATTGCTGTTTTTCAAATAGGGTTTCATATTTATATGTAGGCCCACCTAGACTGATTTTTATCTTAAGAAGGAAGGCCTCCTATCAACTTCTGTAATGATCAAATACAATGCCCTGGTAGGAAGTATATCTTGTGGTGGTTTAGCTATAATCTACACTCTGCCTCAAAGCTTAGGAGTGGTTTTAATAAACCATTATACACTCTATCATTAAGTATCATTAAATCCTTTTTTCTCTTACTTCATTTATGCCAGGTAAATTTTTACATTATGAGTGTTAGATTAAGCCATAGAAGAGCTTGTAAAAAACAATTAGAACACACTTGAAATTCACATCGCAAATGTTACAGGACAGGTTTTCCAAACCAACCATCCTATCTAGGATATTCCATCAGTTCCTCAAAGCTGCTGGGAGGTTGAAAAATATTTGCCTTTCCCACTGTGATATTCATACTTCTCTTGGTTTTCCTGCTGTTCAGAAATGGCCTGTTGATTTAAGGTTTCTATCTCGCTTGACTCCAGATTCTTTACAGATTGTGTCCAGACATTCTCATTTTAGTCTTTCTTACATTTTTCTAAACACAGTATAGTCCCAACGCAACTGAAAAGTTGACAAGGTTTATCTAATAAAATCTAAAGAGATATAAATAAAAATGGGGGGAACATTTTTAAACTCCTCTGGAGGCTTTTTTTTTTATTGTAAAGTTGATGTACAGAGGGGTTAGTTATACACGTCAGATAATGAGTATATTTCTTTTTGAACATTGTAACCCCTAGAGGCCATTTTTAAAGACTTGAAGGCATCATATACACAAATCAGAGAAATTATAACATTTTCAGAGTAGGAAAATACCTTAGAATTCTTATTTGGATGAGTTACTAGACGTTACATAGTTGGTAGGATTGTAACCAATTCATCTGTTGTAGTCCAGCGGGCTTCCCAAGAACTATGGAAATGTGAGTTTGTTATATCTTACATGTAATTATTTCCTTTGATAAAGACCCATACTTACATTTTCTTAGTGGCTTGAATGAATTACTGTACTTGCTTGCACATTCCTCAAGAAATGCTGTTAGTTTAAACTTTGCCCTCAGTTTTACCTGACCTAAGCCCAGAATTAGTAACACGTTTCTTGCTAGAACCTTCATTCTTAACATTTTATTCTCTTCAACCAGTCTCATTCCAAGTATATTCCTTTTTTCTCTCTGAAGAGTTGCGCTGCCTCATGTCTGCCTCTTTTATTTCAATAATGTTCAGGTTCTATCAAGGTTTTTATTCCTTATACTATCTCCCTGGTAGTTTCTAGTCAGTTACCTATATCTTTTTGGAATAAAACTCTACCTCAAATAAACATACGGCTCTTTTTTTAAACAGTCACTGCACATCTTCTGTGCATTGTGCACTGTGCCATCAAATCACTAGAGATGTCCAAAAATAAGCCAAGTGTTAGGCGTTCTCCTAAAATTCACAGAAGCAAAGCTAAAAGGAATAGCTAACAAACTGGTAATGGGGCCGACTTCTTTAGAAGAGACTGAGGTATCTTCCTAAACAACTGGGACACATGGCAAATGCTGCAGAACAAGCAGCTACTGCCTTTGAGACATGGAAAGGAGGTACACAAGAGGTGGAAAGGATCAAAAATGTAGAAGGATTATAGCCATGAGAAGCTAGCATGTCTACACCGAAGAATTTGAAGATTTGTTTATTTTCTCGTTTGATCTAAAATTACCAAGTCAGCTAGAATCATTGATTCCATAAATATAGGTAGGAATGGATGGTAGGATATAGAAGCTATATAGCTATACTCTGTGGATCCCAGGAAGAATATATCAACTAGATTTGAGGACATACTACAATTCTTACAGAGTTAAAGACCCAAAGAGCAATGTCTACTTACTTCATTTACTTATTGGATATAGTAAAGGAGAGTCCCTGGCAACAGGGTGGTTACTAGCCTAAGCTTAACTTCTCTGAGTTTGTCTTCCCTGTTTTTTTTACAGATAAGGATAAAAATATGCAAGTCAAATTAATTGAACTACTTTGTATACAGTCCAGTATCCTCATGTAATTTCAAAACTAAAGACCTGATAAGACCCAGTGCTACTCCTAAAAGTTCCAGGTGAAGGCAGAAGCTTATTAACATTATGTAAAACCATTATCAAATAGATTTTATAACCATTCTTAATGACCCACCAATGTCATTTGACCTGTTTTGTGTCCCTGATGGCTTTTTTCCTTCTGGTTTGGGTCTTTATTGACTATCTTTATTGTCATTAATGACAAAATCCATTTTGTGTTTCCTTCCATTACTTACTTGATGATAATGTTAAATTGCCTGGATTGCTATTAAAAAACCTTTAGATTCTCTGGAAAGTTAAACCCTATAAACTTTTGTTTGTAAAATTTCTAAATATAGAACACATAATATGCCATCATACATTTAGGGAATTCATTTGAAGAACTTTCCATTCTGTATTGGAACACTAAAAAGTGAAAGCCCTGAGTATATTTAACATCTGTGTATTTCCCTCAGATCTTAGTCGTCATGTTTTCTGGATTGCAGTTGACATATTGAAACACTAATTCTTGAAACTACTTTAATATATGATATATTTATGATGCATTAACTTTTATTAGCATGCCTCAAATAGAAACAAAAAAAAGAATTTGAGCAACAAAGAAATTCTATTTCATACCTGATTTGTTCTGCAAGTCTTTATGAAGAATGTTTGAGCTACTTGGCTAAGTAAATAGGAACATATCACAGAAGCTAATCTTAAAGATTGTTTAAAATCTTGAAACAGAAAATAAGATGCACAATGAAACACCATATATGACAGGTGTATGATAAGTACCGGGTCAGTGTTGCAGTTGACAAGTACTGTAAGAATTCAGAAGATAAAAGAAATAAAGACTGGCTTCCTGAAAAATGTGACAGTGGGACTTTAAAGATGTTATTGTGAAACATGAGTGATAGGTGCCAGCAGAAGCTGAGATCTAGATAGAAGTCTTGCTTTGGGAAATGACACCATTAATTTGTGAATATCCAGAGAAATGAGGATCAGAAGCATAGTAGGCAAGGGAAGAAGCGGGCTTGATAGTTGAAGGTCCTGGGAAGTATTTGCAGACACTTGGGTAGATGCTCATACTTTCCTTGTGGGTTTTTTTTTTTTTTTTTTGTCAGTTGTGGGGCTTGAACTCTGGGCCTGCTCTCTTCAGCTCAAGGCAAGCATTCTACCATTGAGCCAGAGCACCACTTCCGGTTTTCTAGTGGTTTATTGGAGATAAGAGTCTCACAGACTTTCCTACCTGGGCTGGCTTTGAACCGCGATCCTCAGATCTCAGCCTCCTGAGTAGCTAGGATTACAGGCATGAGCCTCCAGTGCCCGGCACTTTCCTTGTGTTTTAAGCTGACTAATCAGATACTACCGTGCTCATTTAGAAGAGATCTGTCAGAAATAGATTAGATAAAGAGACAGGTCCATTGGTTTGGGAATGAGATAATCAGGGTCTATAGTAAGGTGCTCATGGTAAATAAATGGAAAGAAATGAGAAATTGTGAAGAACAACGTGACTGGACTTTGTTACTTCTTGTCCAGAGAAGGAAATAGATAAGTAGAGATTAGAATTGTCAGTTTGGGAAAGAAAGTGATACTTTAGATTAGTCTTACTGCATTTGGCCTATGTATCTAATGATGTTGTAAAAACTTGTGTGGCAACTAACTGCTCAGGTCTAAGAAATCACTGAGGAAGAGGAATCTACAGTAGGAAAAGATGGATTCCATAAAATATAAAACTAGTAAAGCCAGTGCTGGTCCTCATTATTAAAAGAATGGTTGTCGTGGGACATGGTGGTATACATGGTAATCCCAGCTAGTAGGAGGTAGAAGGATTTGAGACTAGCCTACAAAGATGTGTGATACCCCCATCTCCCAAAGAATGCATACAAAAATGGACATGTCTCAAGTGACAGAGCACTTGCCTGGCATGCAGGAGACTGTGTTTAGTCCCTGATATCACAGATAGACAGACCTTTAGAAAAACAATTGATTACAATAAAAAATATTAATAATAAAAATAAAAAAAAAGAAAAACAATTGATTAATAACTATGAAAAGATGCCTTCTTACCTCACTATAATCAAAGAAAGGTAAAGTACAGTGATAACTAAAGTATTTTTGCTACTGTACTAAGGCAAGAAAAAAAAATTCCAGGTGTAAGAAATGGATGCTTTTATATATTACAGGGAATATAAATTGATACAGTACTGTGGAGGCAATCTGGCAATACTGATTAAAATTCATACATTCAGTAACATTTTCACTTTTCAGAGAAATTCTGGCACAAATACAGCAGGTGGCATGAAAAATTTACTGTGACATTAATTCATCTCTAACTCCTTATTTTCTTTGTGGTGCTTGCTAGAGATTGAACCTAGAATCTCACACATACTAGAAAAGCAGTCTAGCACTGAGCTACATTTCAACCCTGGAGTCTTAATTATAATGGAAAACCATTGGAATTAAGCTAAATGTGTATGAGGTGGCTGAATAGACCATGACCCTATATGGAATACTATGTCACAGCTAAAAAGAATGGTGCAGATCTGTGAAAACTTATTTGCAAGTTCTCATGGTGAGTGGAGAAGAGCCAATTTTAGAGCTGTTTCCATTTATCTGAAGAGTATGTCTGTCTCAGAATTTATAGACTCAAGAAGAATACACATAAGACAAGCTTAGAGAGACAAAAGGTGCGTGTTTTCTCTCACATGGGAAAGCTAGATCTAAACTACACCAGGACTTGATAAATTATACAGGACTCTAGGCATTCAAATATACTGAGATGAAAGGGGGATACTCTTAGGGGAGGAACACAAAAGCACAATGCTTATGTGTCTCTGTCCATATAAAATAATATTTATCTAAATGAAAAACAATATTCAACAAACTGAAAGTATGGGCTTCTAGGAGAAAGTGAAGTGAGTAGGAAGCAAATTGTCAGAATTAGCAAATAATATAGACTAATCAATTTGGCTTTCAAATAAAAAACTTGTGTGTAGTCCTGTGCAATATTTGAACATGTTTACACTAAAAATTATTCATTGTTTATCTAAAATTTAAATTTAAAACTTTGTTTTATCTAGACACACTGGTGAGTTTAACTTCAACTCAGAATTTGTCAGAACATAAATGTATCCATGTATACTTTGTGTGATAACAAATGAGATTTAGGTAGATGTGTAAAAGCTGTACTAAACACTAGACGTTAGCTTGCTTTGAGAAATAGCCTTAAAAACCTATTTTCATTTTCATACCAAATAGTATTGGTAAACTAGTAGATTAAGGAACAGTACAGCCATACAAGATTTTTGTCTTTAAATATAAGTATAATATTTATGGCAGTTCATTCTTGAAAATTGCTGAGAGTTGGGCTGGGAAGTTGGCTCAGTGGTAGAGTGCTTGCCTCGCATGCATGAGGGCCCTGGGTTCGATTCCTCAGCACCACATAAGCAGAAAAAGCTGGAAGTGGCACTGTGGCTCCAGTAGTAAGAGCACTAGGCTTGAGCTGAAGAGCTGAGGGACAGTGCCTAGGCCCAGAGTTCAGGCCCCTTGACTGGCAAAAAAAAAAAAAAAAGAAAATTGCTGAGAGTATATTTGAAATGTTCGCTCCACAAAAGTACAAATGAGTTCATACTTGCTAATAAAATTTAGCATTCCCCAATGCATAAAACTTAGAAACACTACATTGCATGTGATAAATATATATATATATTAATTTTTATTTGTCACTTTAAAATTTTAAATAGGAAAAATAAATTTATTAAATGCATATTCTTCCCTAGGATGCACGTCAGCAACTGGTAATTTAAAAAAACATCAAATTGTAATTAGTATCTTTAATTAGGTATAGCTTGTTGAGGACTTAATGCAGAATTGTTTAACATAACTTAGAAAATAACATATCATTTCCTAGAAACCTTGTCTTTGTAGGACTTCATTTCACATTCTTTATCAGACTTACTAAACTTAGGTATAGCTTGTTGAGGACTTAATGCAGAATTGTTTAACATAACTTAGAAAATAACATATCATTTCCTAGAAACTTTGTCTTTGTAGGACTTTATTTCACATTCTTTATCAGACTTACTAAACTTTATAGTTTGAAAAAGTTCATAAAAGGAATGTTAAAGAGAGAGAGAGAGAGAGAGCATGTAATTTTAACTGGTAAATTCAGAACACAAAAGAAACAAACAAACAAAAAAAAAAAAACCTCATAATATTCCTACCTCTCTCAACACTGGACATAGAAAAGCGAATTGTTTTCTTCATCTAATCTCCCACCCCCAGAAGTAAACTGAATATCCTTTCAAACATTCTTATTTATATTTAGGGTATTCTATTAAATTTAAATTGAAGATAAAAATAAATAATATTTGTTGTATAAATACGCCCTGCGTATTGGCATACCCTTAAGCTTAAAAAGTATTATTTTTCTGAAATTCAAATTTAATTAAGTACCCTGTGTTTTATCTGACCACTCAGTGTAGACATAATTACACATATATAAACACATACACTTTCCTCTTATCAAAATAGAATCATAACATTTTGGAATTCCCTTAAGGCTTTTTCCTTTCACTATCAATTTATTTAGTTTACATGGTAGAATTACCAGTATTTCTAATGGCTGCTTGATATCATAGATACATTCAGCTTTTTGTTGCTATAACAAAATACCAGAGATAAAATCATTTTTTAAAGAGGAAAGATTTTTGACTGATGGTTTGGGAGGTTCAAGTCCATGGTTGATTGGCATTGTTGCTCTGGGCTATGGCAGTATAGCCCCACACAGTGCAGAGAATATGATAGATTAGGCTATTCATTTACTGGCACAAAAAGAGAGGAGAGAAGCCGGGTGCCCGTGGCTCACACCTGCAATCTTAGCTACTCAGGAGGCTGAGATCTAAGGATTATGGTATGAAACCAGCAGGGACAGGAAAGTCCATGGAACTCTTATGTCCAATTAATCACCAAGAAAAGCCAAAAGTGACACTGTGACTCAAGTGGTAGAGTTCTAGCCTTGAGCAAAAGTAGCTCAGAGACAAGGCCTAGACCCAGAGTTCAAGCTCCAGGATAGGCAATGGAGGGGAAAAAGAGGAGGAATACATAGCATTATCCCCTTTGGAGTGCGTGATCCCAGTGGCTAAAACCTTCCCAATAAGCCCCTTTTCTTACAGGTCCAAATTATAGGACATATCATTTGACTATTTCCTGATTAGGTATTTTATGTTTGTGTTTTTTGTACTTTTAGGTAAAGCACAAAACCTCTTTGAATTGACTAAGCATAAACTAATGCAGTTGGTTCTGCAGGGTGAGTGTTGAGTATAATTATAGGTCTGTATGAGAGTGTGCCAGTTCTGGGGGGGTTGGTCTCAGGGCCTGGGAGTTATCCTTGAACTTTGTACTCAAGGCTAGAGCTCTACTACTTGAGTCACAGCTCTGCTTCCAGCTTTTTGCTATTTTTGCTGGTTAATTGGAAATGCAAGTTCTGCATAGGGTTGGCTTCTAACCATGATCCTCATATCTCAGCCTCTTGAGTAGCTGAGATTGCAGGCCTGAGCCACCAATGCCCAGGTAGGTAAGTTCTAGAGAGTTTGGAAATGTATATTGGAAGATGTCTGTATTGGAGGTGAATGGAGATGGAGGAAAATGCAGAATTTGTGAGGCATAAATACAAGAAAGCAGATGAGGAATGAACATAAACACATGGTCAGTGTTTGGAGTCAGTGACTACTGTGGGCAAAATGGAAAGTCCGATAAAACTGGAGACCATAGGTTGTAGAACACTCAGTGTTCATGAGGGGTTTTATGTCAGTAGTAGTCTTGGCTGTAGGATTAAGAATGGGCAAGTAGGTTCCAAGATGAGGCCTTGGAGGATCCCTAAAATGAGAAAGGGAGGACAATTTTGTGGTACTCCAAAAGAAAGCTTCAAAAAGCTGCCTGAGAGTTTTAGGTGGGCCAAGGAAAGACCTGAAGTCATACTTATGAGAACAAGCAGTTCACGTTCCAGAAGCCTGCATTTTAGAGAGGGATATCCTTAAACCTAAGTAGGTCTTGCTGCACAAATGACCCTGGCCCTCAACATCTGGACTAAGGTTTTTCTGGCTGTAATGCCGGTTTTACTATTGACCTGCTACATTCTTCTTTCTAAGAAAGTCCTTAGTTCACAAACTGAAATCTCTTGGTCGCCTTGGTAGTTTGTTGCTCTTCAGTTCCATTTGGCTCTTGGCCTCCATGCTTTTCCTGAGTAGATGCGACCACCCAGAGCCTCTTTCTGTAGGTTGAAGAAATTATTAGTGAGAAACATATGGCCCTCCTTCCCATGGAGATACATTTGCTGCCTCTATCCTAGCAAGCTTCAGCTTAAAAATTCAGTCGTTGCAGCAACACAAAATAAAAAATGCTCAAGTGCTGCCTCTTCAGAGTCCCGATAAACAGCTGTGCAGGCAGCTCTACCCCAAATGGATGACACAAACAGATGTGTTTCTGGGAGGAAAGTACAAGTGCTCTCCGGGTGTTGTTTTTAGCTTCTTACTATTGCAGGGGTATCTTTGCTTTTTCAAGGAAGAGGTACACTGTGGTAAGCAGTGTTTTATGACCCATAATAAAACCTCTTGTAAAGACCATTTTTTGACCAAATGAAGCTAAGTGTTCTTTTCAAAGTCTTCGTTTGCTCCTCTTTCCCCCACCCCTTTGCATTGGAATGAAGACAGTTCGGCATTAATGAATAACATAAGGAAATAATGTCACAAACTCTAGTTCTTATTTGTTAAGCTGGGAAAGCAACTAGAGTTAATTATGTAAAGAAACTTCACAGTAATTTTGTTCCTATTTGGTAGTTGCTTCTGAATATATATGTCAATTAAGTAAAATTTGATATTATATTTTTATAGTATATGGTTGTTATCTCTTGAAAAGTCCCTAAAGAATAATTTGAAGGAATCTTGAAGTCAGAGGACTCCAAAAAAAGTCCTTCTAGTCTGGTCAAAAAATGACTTAGAACCACCTTAGAAAGTTGGGTTGCTTTCGACATAACGTCTTGCACATCTCATTGTTGCAATGAGTCCACCTGTATCCCTATTTAAATAATTTGTTTTTTCCCTTCCCCTCCACAAATTATACCAATATCAAATACAGTGAAAACAGGGGTTATACCGTGGGGGAGGGACATACAAAGCAACAAAGAAATATCTTGTAAATATGTTAGAAACAATAGCAAGAAAGAAAAAATATTTGAGTCCTTATCTTGGGCTTCATTTCTCCTAACATCAACTTATCTGACCGTTTCTGCTTGTCTCAGATATATACTAGTTATTGCAAATAAGGGAAACCATGGGACCTATGTTTCTTTGGCTTACTTCACTTAATATAATTCTTTACAACTTTGGTGATGGGCAGGGAGTGGGGGGAGATAAGAGGGGGGAAACAAAGGAGGAGGCTACAATGCTTGATAAGAAATGTACTCATTACCTTGCCCATGTAATCGTAACCCCTCTGTAGGGTATTTTCACAATTAAAAAAAAAGTTGGGTTGCTTATAAAAAGAGATATATAATGTATTCCATGAATAATAATAGCAGATGATTTCTAAACATCTTTCCAGACCTAAAATCTTTAGACTTCCAAATGAAAACCATGGAATATAACACTTGATTTAATTAAAGTAATAATGAGCATTTTAAAGATCCTGTCCTATAGTATGCACCTAGTTATGTTTGTTGATCTTACTGATGAGTGTTGGAATGACAGGAGGATTTTGTTGCTAAGTGTAA